GGGGGGGGGGGAGAGGCCGCTCGGCTTGGGGCTCAGTTGGCCCTGGCTCTCCGTCTGCCCCCCCCCGCCCCCAAGGTGCACGCGCGCGCAAGGCACCGCCGCTTTTAAATGAACGGATCCAAGCTGACCGGGACAAGGCTGGACTACCTGGCCCTCTTGCAGCGCATCCCCGGTGCCAGGTGTCGCCTCGTCGCCCCCCGACGCATCTGACCCGTGTGGTCCGGAGGACGGTCTTCGGCTCGCCCCTTAGTGCCGCCGGCGCAAGTTGCCCTCCTTCGCGCCCCCTTCCTTCTCTGCCCCCCCCAAACCGTGTGTGTATGTGTGTTTGTGGGGGGGGGAAGAGGTGGCTTTTCTCCCAAGGCAGTCGCCCTCCATCCGTCCCGAGGTGCCTCGGCGCCCTTAAAACCGAGGGAGAGGCGATCTACCGAAGGGGGAAGGAAATCGAAGCCTGTGGAGTAGCCGAGATGCGCCCACGGCCCGCGTGTGCCGAGCCCGAGCGCCGGGTGCCTTCAAGCCACTCGGCGTCTGGTTCATCAGGAGGGCGACCCGGCCTGGAGAGGAAGGCCGCCTGCCTTGCCCGCTGAAAACGGGAGGGCGTCGGCGCTGTGAGTCGGTACGGTTAGGATCGCGTTCTCAAGCCGTACGCACTCCAAACCGTTATAGAGACCGGGTAGTCTTGTTTTCGGGGAGGGGAGCCCAACTGAGATATTTTTCATTTGGTGGCGGCGGTGAAGGCGAGGGTGGATTCTCTGCATTATCAGGGTGTCCTTCTCTCGTATATAAGCCGCGGTGTAAAGTGGCCAATAAAACTCAAGGGCAAGGAAAGAGAACGGGGAAGCCCCACTGGAGCGCTCGGGAGGTTAGTCGGCTCTTCACGTTTGGCGTGGCCTTTTCTGGGTCTCGGATCGATTTGGCCCGGATGTTTTTCCCTCCGAGCCGGGCTGCTAACCCGCGCCGCGTTTCTGTCTACACACAGACTTGGGCGCACTTCGTGGCGTGAAATTCTCTGGAGATCCTGCTAGACGCCCCTCCAGCTCCCCGCTGGGATACCCCCGCGTTGCCCCGACTACAGCCGGAGGAGGCCTTGCCGCACGCCTCTGGACGGCACTCGCTCCCGGGTATTTCGGCTTACTCGGTTGCCTTGGAGGGAGGTGGACGCGGACGTTGTGGAGCAGGGTGGGCGGCGAGACCGTGACCCCGAGGGAAGAAAGGGCCGCAGGCGGGCTGTCCTGACGCGCCGGGAGTCCCGCGTCCTCCTCGGGAAGTGTGGCTTTTCCTAAAGAGGCGCCCGCTTTGCTCGTCTCGCGGTCGGACTGATGGGGGCTCCACAGTCAAAGTGTCTTTTTGAGGCGCTGCCCCGATCCAGGCGACCGTCGGGGCCGCCAGACGGAGATCTGGGCTCGGGAAGCCTTTCCACAGCACCCCTGCGAGTAAGAAGAGAGGCCGGGGGACGACCTGATGCGACACGAGTCCTCTGATCGTGGGAAAGGCAGGGAGCAGGCCCCGACGTCTCTCCCCCATCTCCGCAGCACTTGGGATGGCTTCCCATTATGGGGGGGGGGCGAGCAAACAAGTCCACGGCGTGTGTGGGAGGGGGAAATGGGGCGACCTTTCGCTCCAGAGCGTTGCCCGACCCGTCTGAACAGATCTTGCAGAATCCGCCCCTGGGGGGCTTTCCTCGCCCGGCCTGGTTTGGGGGCGATGCTGGCCAGGTAGAGCCGGCGGCTTTCTTTCCTCGGATGACCCTTCCCTTACGGGACCCCTTCGGAGGTTGGGCTCTCCCGGCAGGGCGTTTCACAGCCACGGGACTCTCCGGAGCGCGTGTAGTGCGGGAGGGGTGTGCGTGGACGCGCCCGGCCATTTATCTGCCTCGCCAGTCCGCCCGGCGGATCTGCTCCGGCTTGGCGGCGGCCAAGGCCGGTCCTCTTCGGCCGCGCTTGCCGCCCCAAGCCTCTGGCTGTTTCTGTCGTCGGGCCAAAGAGAAGGAGCCGGCTCCGGGATGAGTTAAGGAGGGCGGGGGGCGGGGGGGGGAGACGCCGCCGCCGCCAGGCTTTG